AAAAAAAAAAAAAAAAGAAAAAGAAAAAAAAATGTTGGGATATAGGCATGAGGCGCCACACCCTTGCCCCTGTTGTTTTTAAACCCTTCCTACACTGCTAGAAATCATCCCTGTCCTTTCGTTGATGCTTTGTCATTCATACCATGGGGAATGATTTTGTTTCCTGCCAGGACCCTGACCACAACTGGGCACCAGCTTCAGATCTAGGCACATACCCTTACTGAGAGGACTATGGCCAGGTTGATAAGGTAGTAGACATGGAGTCCAGGCAGCGCCAGGTAAAGGGACCCAGACTTCCAGCAGCTGTGACTGAGGAGAGCTGATGACATGCAATTAGAAGGCCACATGGCTTCTGCTGGTCCCCATGACACCTTCATGTGAATTAGAAGACACATCCCCACACCAGGAGGTGAGGCTCGGGTCTCAGCCCCATTTGCCTCTCAGAGGAGTGCCCTTGAAGTGTGGGGTAGTGAGGTCACCCCACTATATTAACCATATCTTTATTTTCTATATTCAATGCTTTGACATCTGGGTTTTTGCTATCTCTAGAGGGACACCCCTGCCCTACCCTAGGGATAGCAAACAACTCACCCTTGAGCACACTATTCAAATGCAAACCAGCCAGTCTAGAACCCACACCCCCAACTACCTCCTTTATGGGGCTCTCACATTATTTGTTTTTTTGAGATGGAGTTTTACTCTGTTGCCTAGGCTGGAGTGCAATGGTGTGCTCTTGGTTCACTATAGCCTCTGCCTCCTGAGTTCAAGTGATTCTCCTGCCTCAGCCTCCTGAGTAACTGGGATTATAGGCACCCACCATCACACCCAGCTAATTTTTTTTTTTTTAGTAGATATGGGGTTCCACCATGTTGGCCAGGCTGGTTTTGAACTCCTGACCTCAGGTGATCCACCCATCTCAGCCTCCCAGAGTGCTGGAATCACTGGCATGAGCCACTGCGCCCGGCTGGGCTCTCACGTTTCTACTCACTATACTCCTGCCTTAATCAGTCCAGGTCCAGGTACCAACAACTAGGGTCAGCCCTGAAGTCCACTGAGATTGTCCAAACTGGCCAGTTTGGAGCCTGTTTGCCCTGCCTCACCTGTTCCTTCCCACAGGAGCCACAGTAAAGGCCTTTGCCTACATTTCTTCTGTCCTCTGCCTTCTAACCAACCCTAGTGCTTCTTTGGCCCTGCACAGCATGCTGTGCCCCCTCCTTTTGGGAACTGTGAGTAGCAAACTCTTTCTGTTTGTTTTTGAGAGACAGGGTCTTGCTCTGTCACCCAGGCTGAAGTGCAGTGGTGCCATAGCGGCTTACCACAGCCTCCACCTCCCTAGGCTCAAGTGATCCTCCTACTTTAGCTTCTTGAGTAGCTGGAACTAGAACATGCCACCATGCCCAGGTTTTTTGTTTTTGTTTTTGTTTTTGAGAGATGGGGTTTTGTTGTGTTGCCCAGGCTGGCCGGAAACCCCTGGGCTCAAGTGATCCTTCTGCCTTTGCCTCTCCAGGTGTTGGGATTATAGGTGTGAGCCATCGCTTCAGGCCTCATTTTAAAATTATTAATTGGTTTCTCCTACTGCTCACAGTCCAGCATTTTTTCCCCTAACTGCAGGTGGGGCTGGGGGTTTCTGAGCCCCCTGGGATGGGTACCTGAGCAGATGTGGCTCCACCAGCTTCTTCCAGCCTGTCACTGAGGTCTTCGAGGTCCCGGGACAGATCACTGCGTTGTTTCTCCACCTGAGATGAAATTTTTTTTGTTGTTTTTTGAGATACAGCCTTCCTCTGTGGTTCAGGCTGTAGTGCAGTGGTGCCATCTCGACTCACTGCAACCTTTGCCTGCCTGGCTCACGCAATCCTCTAACCTCAGCCTCCCGAGTAGCTGACACTACAGGCACATGCCCCCATACCCAGCTAATCTGTAAATTTTTCATAGAGATGGGGCTTCACCATGTTGCCTAGGCTGGTATCCTGGTCTCAAGTGATCCTCCTGCCTTGGTCTCCCAAAGTATTCAGATTATAGGCATGAGCCACTGTGCCTGGCCGCTGGGTGAGATTTAATGATACCGATGATAACCACCCAGAGCTCCTTTTTCTCCAGTAAAGAGCGTGATGACTGCTTTACCTTTGAGAAGCCAGGATTCTGTGCCTGGGGGCTTTATGCCCTGCCTGTCATCCTGCAGGCTCAGTGAAGGACACTGTCTTCCCCACACTGCCTGGGCATTAGTGCGCATCCTACCTACCACCTGTCCAATTTGGCTGAATTTGGGGTTAGATATGCTGTGATTTGTCTCCCACCAGCTTTCTGGGCTCACTGTCCTGTAGGATCCCCACCGTCAGGCCTCCCTCCATACTCTGTTCTTGCTAACACATGCTTTCTCCGTCTATGCTTTTGTCCCCATGAAGGTAGGTGCTATTTGATTCCCTTTGCCTAGACATTCATCCCTGCATCTGCCTGTTGAATTCCATCTTTGAGATCAAGTGTTTCCTCCCCTGTGTGCCCCAGGTAGAACCAGCCTCTCTTCCTCTGGACTCAAGCCACACAGAGTATCTGCCTTTTACAACATGATTAATGTGGATTAATTGAATACCTGCTGTGTGCCAGTTCAGTCCCTGGCACACAGTAGGTATGCAAGAAGCAACTAGA